GCTGAAACTTCCTATTCTCTGCTGTAACTTTCCGGTTTTTCGTTTGTTTCAAATGGGTTCATAATCGCTCACTGAAACATTTTCATGATGGTTGCTTTCAAGTTCTTGTCAGAGGGGCACTTGGTTGGCTCAGTCCGTTGAGCATCTGACTCTTGATTTCAGCTCAGGTCGTGATCTCACAATTCATGAGTTCGAGCTCCGTGTTGGGCTCTGCACTGACAGTGTGGAGCCTGCTTGGGGTTCTCTGTCTCCCTCTCTCTCTGCCCCTCCCCTACTTGTGCTCACGTGCCTGTGTGCCCTCTCTCTCTCAAAAAGAACTATTAAAAAAAAACTAAAACCCTTGTCAGATAATTGGAACATCTGATTCACCCCAGCGTTCACATCTGTTGATTGTATTTTCTAACTAATTTTTTTTAATTTTTATTTTTTTTTAATTTTATTTATTTTTGAGAGAGAGACAGAGCGCAAGCAGGGAGGGGCAGAGAGAGAGGGAGACACAGAATCCGAAGCGGGCTCCAGGCTCCGAGCCGTCCGCACAGAGCCCACCGCGGGGCTCGAGATCATGACCTGAGCGGAAGTCGGACGCTTAACCAACTGAGCCACCCGGGCGCCCTGGTATGGATTTTTGATTGAAACTTGGACATCTTGGGAATTAGGCGGCTCTGGATCTTATCCAAATCTTCTGTTTTAGCAGGCCTCTTCTGGCATCGCTCTGGTGGGGTAAGGGAAAGCGCTGCTTTATTACTATCAGGTTCGGGTGAAAAAAGTCCGGGTTCCCCGCTCAGCCTTGGCTGACTGGTGGAGGGGGAAGATCTTGTTACTTCTAGATATGAATGGGAGTTCTGACACCCCCATTGGGCCCCCACTGATACCACCTTGGCTGGGAGGTATGGGAGTGCCTCATTAGTGCCCCCCACATTGCTTCCGCTGACACCACGAGGGTGCCGTCACCACCGGGCAGTAGGCTTCCTGTCACACCAACCCAGCAGGGAGGGGTAGGGATTCTTCCTTTCTGCTGGATTGGGGTGGTGGTAGGGATTTGAGGTGCCTCATTACAGCCTGGTGAGGGTAGAAGTCTAGGTTCCTGGTGGGTGTGGGTGGTCTCGACTTCATTGAGAAGTCTCAAAACGATTTTGACAACTGGTTTTTAAACAAATTTTTAAAAACGTTTATTTATTTTGAGGGAGAGCAAGAGTGCCGGCAGGGGAGGGGCAGAGAGAGAGGGAGAGAGGAATCCCGAGTAGGCGCTGCACGGTCAGCACAGAGCCCCACCTGGGGCTCGAACTCACGCGCCGCGAGATCATGACTGGATCCGAAACCAGGAGTCAGGTGCTTAACCAACTGAGCCTCCCAGGTGCCCTGACAACTGAAGCTTTTGTAATGACTGAAAGTCTGTCTGTATTTGACCTTCTATCTCCCCTCAACCCTTACTCTTATTTACTTTTGTCATCAATGTGTCTGGATATCAGTTGGATAATCTTTATGACACTGGTGAGTGTGGGAAGAGCTGGTAAATACATTTTTTTTTTTTGATATAAAAAAAGCATGGTTCTAATTATAAGACTAGATAAATCAGGACTCTGTTGTGTGACTTTCTATCTGTACGGGTTATGTGACATTAACATTATAAATAAACTACATGTTCCTAAATGCTTTGGGTTAAGTATTCAGTTGTTCAAAAATGAATTAAATTTATCTTCCTATAATTGAAAGGGCTTCTTCTCTGATATTAATTGATGGTATTCACAGAAGTATTAACTACAGATTGTGCACTAATTAACCCATAATCGGACTCAGCATGACACAAACTTATATAATTTTCAAATGTTGATTTATCTATGCATATATTAGTCATATCACCTGGGTAAACTCACATTATTTCCTCCAGCTCCCGGTGTATTCTGTTACAGTTATGAAATGAGTCAGTAATAAGCGATATGAGGTTGAATGTTGGAATAAAGAAGCGAGGTAGCAATGTTGGGATTATATGCCTTAAGTAAAAAGTGGATTAAAACTATGTGTTGGGTTTATGGGGAGGTTGGGGAGTGATAAGGAGGCAGTGATTGGTAGAACGGTGACCGGTACATTTAGAACCCAGAATGTGAAAGCTACAAAGGATCTTAGAAGTTCCAACTTTTTTTTTTTTTTTTTTTTTTTTTTGAGGTCTTTGAGTGGATATTATGTATCTGGCACTCTACCTACCTCATGGAAATTCATATTCAAAATAATGTTGGAAAGGGGATGGATTCCCCCGCCCCGCTCACAGAGGAGAGCACTGAAGCTCAAATGAGACTAACTTGTATAAGGTCAGCCAGCTAGCAAGTGGTAGAGTTAGGATTCAAACCTAGGTCTGTACGGTTTCACAGTTCATGCTCCTCTGGCTCAACGGCTCTGCCTTCCAGATGGGTTTTCGGATTCACTTTGCAGAGAAATAATTACAAAGTCATTTATCTCACTTTACCATTTCTCTCTCCAGTGAGGACCGAAACCTTGGAGGCTTCATACCTACCTATTGTGTATACATTTATTTGACAAATTATAAACCGCTCCAGTTCTAAAAAAATTACATAGTGTATGGAGATTGATGTTACTGTATAAAAATGGTCTCGTGCATCATAATGGAGGATGGAGATCTGTAGTTGGATTAGACATACAGTTCCAGCTTAGAGGAGAAGGAAGTTTCCCAAGGTCACACAGCCTGCGCAGTAAGGATTCAAATCCAGGACCTCCTGACTCCAACACCACCCCACTGCATCCACTCGGTGCAATTCTGCTGCTATTATCTCCTAACGATTATGTGGTGGGAACGGTTTTGAGCGGTTTGGGGTGGGTAGCCTTATAATTCTTAAGCGCCTCAGTCAAGAATGGCCAACTCCAGGAATATGGCCAAATGCTGGCTGAATTTTCTCTCTGCCCGTGCAAGTCTAAGTGTGTGTGGGGAGAAGATCGTGGTGTCAAAATCTCCCAGGACTGGAAGGTTGTGTTTGTGACAAAGTTAACAATGCACGTTAATTTAGCTGTAGAAAACATTCAGCTCTCTATATTCGTTCAAATAAAACGGAACACCGTGAAGAATGGAAGAGGTGTTGCAGAGAAAGTAATTAAACATGAAATATAGTCTATATGAAACCACAGTTTGTTAGTCTAGTTACTGGTCTCAGGGGAACAATTTAAAACCGTGTCTGTGTGCAAAATCAGTTGGGATTTCTATAGCTTCTCGCTGAATACTGCTCGGATTACTGAGTCAGCGCGGAATTGTCTTCCTTATATTTTGAAATCCAAGTTAAATCTATCTTGTCTATTGGTTATGAAAAATCTACAAGAATCCATGTTAATAAAGGAAATCTTGTCTTCGTAAGTCGATTAATTAATACTTCCCAATCTCTGAAGACTGGAGGTGTGCCCTGTAACGGATCTATTATACGAGACCTGTCTTTTGGAAAGAGTAATGGACCGAAGGCATGTTTTCTTTTTCTCCCAATTACACCTGGGATTGAAAACTAGACTAGTGACTTTGATTTGCATCTAAGACACGGCCAGAACAACAAAGTGTTATTGTTGTCTAAGGCATGTTGTGTGGGGGTAGAAAAGGCTTTTCTGGGCTGCAAGCTGTGTTGAGGATCTTAACTATGTCTTCTCTTAGGCCTGTCCACAAGCAGCCCCAACTCTTCCACGAAGGACCCCACCCCCCACCCCGAGATCACAGCCACAAGAAACCAACATTCTGGAGGTCCAGCTCAACACCTGTCATTGTTTTTCTTACGATACTATAGTGAACTACCGACAAAACGCGGGTAGCATGAAAACTTGGCCCCAAAGTGCCGCCAACAGACCTTGGGCGGTGGGGAGCCGTGATCGGCGAGCCAGACCCCGTGGGCGACTCTTCCTTCCCTCCGGCCGGGGGTCAGGAGGCTTTTCCCCCTTCACTTTCGGCGCGAGCAAGGGGATCGGGGGCCCGGAGCGCAGGCCCGGCCTTGGGCGGCGCCCGTGCCGCCCGGCTTGGGCCAGCAGCCGCTCCCGGAGCGCGCTCCTTGCGGAGGCCATTATTTCCAGCGGTGCCAAAAGTGTGCGCCTTCTTCGGAGGGCGGAGGTCAGGGGCCGTGCGCCGCGACCCTTACCAGGCCCGGCGAGGCCCCGGGACCCCCCGGAGCGCGGGACTGCCCGGGCCGTGGGTCTGGGCCCACCACCCAGCTCTCCGGCAGGCAGAGGCCGACCATGGCGTCCTCACTCACTGCTCACGCCCGCCGCGGGCGGTGCCGGACCTCGCCCTTCCTTACCGCTCCCCTCCCCCTCCCGAGCCCGCCGCGGCTCCCGAGGTGACACGGCCCGGACCCTCCATTCTCTGCCCCAGTGTATTTAACGAGCACAACCTAACCGCTTGCTGCCTCTCGGTGACAACCCTTCCCCCCCGACAGACGGGCGCAGCAGCCAACCACCGGCCAGAATTGGCCTGCGTCCCGCTCCCCGACGGTGGCGGCCTCGGTGGGCGGGGCTCGGCAGCTAGCAAGTTGAGTGGAGCCACGGCTGACGTGAGTCAACAAAGGTCACGTGAGGCGAGCGAGCGGCGCCGATTGGTGGCGCCGGCCGGGCGCGGAGGGGGGGTCACGGCGGCGGCGTGGGGTTCGCTGTGTGACACAATTACAACAACTTTGTGCTGGTGCCGGGGAAGTTTGTGTCTCCAACGAATCCCCCCCCGTCCCCCAGCCCCGCGCGCTCCGGCCGTTCCCGCCGTCCCCGCCTGTGGCTGCCCCCCGCCCGCCCCCGCGATGTGACCCTACAGCCGAGCCGCCGCCGCTGCCGAACCGGGGGCTCCGCAGCCCCTGCCGCCGCCGCCTTCGCCGCCGCCGCGTTGGGATTTTTCGTCGCTGCCGCCCGCGGCGGAGGAGGAGGCGGCGATAAAGTTGGTGTGCCGGTCCCGCGCGGAGATTGGGGGCGTCGTTGCGGGCCCCGGCCCGGGGGGGGGGGTGTCGGCGTTGGAGTTGTGAATTCGCTGCGTTTCCATGAAATCCTGCGGAGTGTCGCTCGCTACCGCCGCCGCTGCCGCCGCCGCTTTCGGTGATGAGGAAAAGAAAATGGCGGCGGGAAAAGCGAGCGGCGAGAGCGAGGAGGCGTCCCCCAGCCTGACAGCCGAGGAGAGGGAGGCGCTCGGCGGACTGGACAGGTACGGGCCGCCGTCACCCGCCCGGTCGGCTCCGGACGGGCTGGCGCCGCTCTCCGGGGAGGCCCGAGCGCCGCTCGCCTCTGGCGGCGGCGGGGCGGGCACCTCGGCTCGGCGCTCTCCGCGCCGGAGCCGCCGCCGGGGCCTCGGGCGCGGGCAGGGGTGGGTCGGTGGCGTTCCCGGAGCCCTAACGCGCCGCGTGTGTCTCTCCCCGCAGCCGCCTTTTCGGGTTCGTGAGGTTTCATGAAGATGGCGCCAGGACGAAGGCCCTACTGGGCAAGGTAAGGCAGCCGCGGGCCGGAGCGCGGACACCGTCTTCCCCGGCCGGCGCCCCGCTCGCCCCGGGCCCCGCCGCCCGGCCGGCGTTCATTGTGGCGGCGAACGATGGCCGAGGGGCTTCCGGAAAACTATTTCCTGCCTTTGCTCTCCCTCCCTTCCTCCCACCCCCCCCCCCCCCCCCAACCCCCGGATACCTCGCTCGCACCCTTGCGAAATCGCCCTCTCCTCTCGTAGCCGGAGGAACCGGGGCAGCAGCGCTTTGGGGCCGAGCTCCACTGGGTGCACGAAAGCGCCTCTCATTTTGCGGCTCTTTGGAGGTAGCCCGATGAGCCCCCGGGGTGCCGGTGTAGCGTCAGGGCAGCGTAAATGTGTGCAGATGTTCCCCCCCCCCCCTCAATTTCCGACTTCCTTGCCTCCCGTGGGTTTCATTCTTTCCCTCCAGGCAGGCTGTTCGTAACGTCTACTGTGCACCAAACGTTTTGGGCTCTCCTGCGTCCCTGCTCCCAGAAGGGGGAAGTTGCACGTAGTTTAGGGCGGCGAAGAGTTTGCATTGGGCTGTTGACATGTATCCCGATGGGTCTCTCTGTTCTACCTGAAGTTAGGTGACTTGTTTACTCTTTTGGGGCGTTCTGCCCCCACACCCCGCAGTTATTTGCGAATGTGCTTTCTTCTTGGGGTCCCGTTTCCTGTGTGCCTGACCGGGGAGGCCAGGGGGGATTCGGGGTGCAGCCTCTGTTTATTTGTGTGGAAAGTTGTTAGCACTGTCATTTAGTTAAGTAATGGCTGCTCCTATCGGCCCAAGATGGCGGGACAGGGTGGGAGGAGAAAGTGAAGGGGGGGGGAGTTGGGGGGGAGGGAGGAGAGGTAAACATGGAAATAAATAGTAGCGATGAATAGGCCTTTCCTTCGGAGTGTGCAGCTCGATGGTGTTCAATAAAAATTGTCCGAGATGATTTGCATGCAGAATTCTTGTACCTTTCTCAGGCTTGGAAGCAGCATTCGTAAGCCTGGTAAATGCTTATCAACCTGTAGCACATTTAGTTGCCCAACCGTAAGCTGTTGAACAAAGGCTGTGGAGTCTCGATCTGTCCGCATCAGTTGGTCCCTCCGGAGCAAAATATGATCGAAGTGATATTTGTGTGCTTCCTTAATGGGCACCGTGAAACTTGGGAGTGTGTGCGATAGGTGTTGCATCCGTTAGACATTTTCTTTTCAAGCCGAAATCCGTAGCTTTCAGTTTGACACCTAGCCTTATTGTTACATTTGAGAAGGAAGTTTGACAAAGCCTAGCGTTTTATTCTTAAGTTGATTTTTAAAAAATTTAGCTAGTTGTCCTCCATTTTTTGTCTGTAGTTTGGTTTAGGAGTCACTAATTCTTTATCTGCAATTGACTTCTGCTTTTGTTTCAAAGTAACTAAGTGGAAGGGATTTCAACCCCAGATAATGACCAGAAAGCTAAACAGTAATAATCCTTTTCAGGAAGCCTGGTGCCTTTGCCTGATAGAGAAAACTTGAATTAAACTTTGGCTGTGTAGGTATTAATTGGTTTCATTAAGATTATCCCTGGAAAAATGAATAGCGACTAGCTCTGAAATGATTTAAGCATCAATAATTAAAGCCTTGAACATTTTTTGAGTATTTAAAATATTTTGTTGAAAATAATTGACTACTGTCAGAGTTGTCCTTCCACAAGATTAAATACTTAAATAAATGGAGCATTATTTTATCTTGGAGTGATTATTGCCAGTCTAATTGGAGGTTGGTAAAATTGTTTGCAAAGATCACACATTTGGAAAAGTTTGGCCAAATCTATTGCTTTTGGTTTACGGTAATGAAGATATAAACGGAATCTGATGTTTTGTGTGGATGATGTGTAAAATGCTAGTTGATGATTTCGTGTCTCAGAACGATGGTGTTTAGTAGATTCACAGTGGATTGGATTTCAGACTGTACTATTGGACTCTACAGTAATTATGCACTATTGTGTTTAAATTTTAAAGAACTCAGCGTTTTCAAGCATTTTTTTGTGAAAGTGTGCATTACTTTCTTGATGTTTGAATACAGTAACATGCTATACATGAGAAACTTGTGAAGTTTCACTATGTTTTGGGGAAGAATTAAGGCTTTGTAAAAAAATAATCTGCTGAATTACTAAGTATTTCGTTGAGTTGAAAAAAAATTCTTTATTTGTAACTACATGCTTGTGAGGTCCTACCTATTTAGGGCAAGACTTGTTAGTCTTAACGTTACAATAAAACATTCTAGAGTGTATGCTTGCAACCTCATGCAGTTCTTGTGAGCCTGCACATCCTAGGGAAATGTATAATGTAAAGCTTGACATTATATAACCTCTCACCTCGTGTTTGAATTGAATTCTGAAAAGAATGAATGAGCTGGGGTCCTGCTGTCGGAAGTATTGAATTAATTCAGTTTCACCCATCTTTTGAATAGTCCTGGGGAACAACAGTCCTGTGTGTGTGTGTGTGTGTGTGTGTGTGTGTGTGTGTGTGTAATGTTGAGCTATGTTTCAGAATTCATGTTATCTAAAAGTCTTAAAAACAAGAGTTGGCTTTTCTTTGTTGGGGTTGGTTCAGGCTACTTACCTGAAGGCAGGTAATGGAATTGAATAACTCTCAGGGTTCTCTTTTTAGCTGCTATTTTTGTCCTGCCACCCCTCCTCACCTCCTGCCCCCCCCCCGCATAAATTTAGTCTGCAGCTTGTATAACTTTTTTTTTTCTTTCTGACAAACTTAGCTATTACTACCTGTTTTCAAAATTTTTATTCTTATATGTATTATCGGATCGGGCTTCAAGTTTTTAAATTCCAATTTGTAGGTTTAAAAAAAGATAACTCTTGACATAAAAGCTTTGGTAAGTTTTAAACATTTAATAAAAGTGTCTCTTACTTGCCACTAAACTTGTATGTTCCTTTTCCAGGTGTGAGGATACTTTGTCCAAACTGCTGATTTCTTAGTCTCTGAATGTTTTTGTAAGACTCATTCGTATTAGTGTCCTTAAAAGGATTTTTGTTTGTATGATTGCCATTTGATATACAATACTTGGGATTTTGGATTAAAAAATAAATTAGTGATATGGTATATTATTTTTGTAGTAATATCTTTAAAATATCTTCAAAAGGTTGTTAATAGCAAGTGGTTGCTTAATCAGAGTTCTTGAAATACAGCATTAGCTTGACCACTTTGCTCTTTAATGCTGACCATTAATCTTTTGGTAACATAATAATTCAAGATTCTTACATTTTAATTACAATGGAGTTACTGAAAAGTAATTAGAAATGAAACATTTTAACAAATTAACTGTGGTGATTTTGTTTTTAGTACGTTTTTGAAAATCTTTTGGGTTCATCTTGTTCTCAGTTGGATAAGGATTTGTGTTAAAGTATCATGTATAGTAATAATATAGCATAAATACAGAAAGAATAAATATCGTACTATAAGGCATATTTATAGTAATATATTGCTAAAGGGCTGGGGAATCTTATCTGCGTCAGGGAACAACTGCTTAAGTACATAGTTGTTCATTTTGAAGTATCTTTACATCATTTATAAGTTTGTCCTGAGTATACTTTATTGAAACATCTTTTTTTATAATTCTGTTAATCAGTAGAAAGATTATGTGGAATACCTAGGAGTTACGGGTTGTTTACCCTTTAGAATATGCTCGGGGCACCTGGGTGGCTCAGTCCCTTAAGCATCTGACTTTGCTTCCAGTCATGATCTCACTGTTGGTGTGTTGGAGACCTGCATGGGGCTCTCTGCTGTCAGCGCAGAGTTGCTTGGGATCCTCTGTCCCCCCCCCCCTGCCCCTCTCCCACTCTCACACACTCTCTCTCTCTCTCTCAAAAATAAACATTAAAAAAGTTGAAAAAGAAATGTATGTTCTATTTTTCCAAGGAGGTCATTAGTATTAACATAGTTAGCATTTTTCATTTTTTGGGAAATAGAAGTAGTTTAAAATCCATTAAAGCATATATTTTCCTAAATTTGGTCTGCTTGCATGTAGATGGTAGGTGAAACTTACTAGGTCAGTTCTAGAGATGGTTTATTTATACTATAATATTTAGAGATTAATGATGTTTAGAATTATTCTATATTGTGTTTTGTTTGCTGACACTTAAAGGTATATATTCATTTCTAGTGCTAAAGAAGGTTTAGTGTTTGTGTTACAAAAGTAGCCACAGAATAAGGTCATGCCTTGTGTTTGAAAATTAGGTCTTTAACTTGATGTGTTTTTAAAAAGTGTTTTCTAGTTTGGAAAGTTGTCTTGTAAATAATTATAGTCATTGTTTGCCTGGATAAAGTCTCATGCTGTTACACATTTCCTAAAATTTTGCTACATCCCTAGTAATACAGCTATAATAGTAAGAGATTACAGAAATGTTTGCATACCTGGGCACAAATTAGAACCGCAGGAATATATAAACAGGTACTTTTTAAGTTCTGGCCTTCTTTCTCACTGGATAGCTCTTTCTGTAGAATCAATTATAAATTGAAATGACTAGGGAACATTTGACTGCCACCTCTAGATATTTTAGGTTGTTAAGAAAAACTGCCTGAGAGTTGGGTTTTTGTGATTTAGGTGGTAAAGTGGAGTAATGAGGCATGGGTATTAAACCAAAGTGAAGGTTCATTGCTTGGCTAGCTGCAGAGTAAAATGTCTTATTATGACTTGATTATGTAACATTTAGTTTTTATTTCTTTAGTACCAGTATTTTTTTTTTTTTTGCAGATTTAAGTTTTTGGTTTTTTTTTTTTTTTTTTACTTTGAAACTCATTGTGATGCTTTGAGCTCTTTGAAACTGATGTTAATGACTGATAACACTGTACATCATTAACAGTATTTTTGAAATGTATCCAGAGAGCTAGTTTATGTTAAGAAACACCACCAGATTGTCTAAGAATTGGAATGGTGGTTAGGTTATTTAGGGCCCCCCATGTATTTATTTGTAGACTAGTTAATGGAGTTTCATGAATGCGAAATT